TGGGGCCCGGGGCATCCCCCGGGGGGCCGCCAGCCTGGTCCCGGGAAGAGGGGGAGGGCTGGGGGGCATTGGGTGGCTGGCTCGATCCGTGCCAGGTGCAGGGTCTGCTAGCTGGGTGCTGGCAGGCTTGCACCTGGCACGGGCACCGTAGGCAGCCCGTGGCCCTTTAAGGGGTCCGGGGCCGGGAGGGGGGCATAGAGTTTCCCTGGTGTTGGCCAGAGTGGCCACCAGGGAAACCTGGGGAGGGCTAGCCTCCCACTAGTTCGAATTAAGGGGCTACACACCCCTTAATTTGAACTAGTAAGTTCGAACTAGGCTTAATCCTCGTAAAATGAGGTTTTCCTAGTTCGAACTAAGCGCTCCGCTAGTTCGATTTAAATTCGAACTAACGGAGCGCTAGTGTAGCGCCTAGGAAAGTTAGTTCGAACTAACGTCCGTTAGTTCGAACTAACATTGTAGTGTAGACATACCCTTGATGACATGTAATGTAGCTGAAGCTGACCTCCATGGTGGCTTGTTAGGGAGTTTTGTTTATGGATGGTTTAATTGTTCTACGTCATGAAATACAATGTTATCACGGTGTTTACGTCAGTAATTGGGACAACCAAAATGGAGTCTGTGACTCTTGACCTAAGGATCCATATTGGATCTCCTCAAGCTCAGAGACCGGTTTAAACCAGATTTTCCTGCCAAGTTGTCATGAGGGTTCCATTCCCCTCAAGTTTTTCCTGGACTTATGGCTCTATAAGGACTGTGTTGCCTCAGCCTCCGCTGCTGTCCCCCCTGGTGGCAGCAGTGTGTGAGAGGGGCAGCCCCAGCCCTGGCTACGGGGGAGGGGGGGGGGAAGAAGAGGCTTTTACCATCTGCACCCACACACAACCAGCCTGAAAGCCCCACAGCCTGTGGCTCCTCTGCTCCCCCCAGCCTGGGTCAGGACATTGTGGGACTCCCCAGCGCTCCTCCAGACCAGCCTGAGGGTAGCAGGTCCTGGGCACATCCCCCCGCGCCTCTGCTAGTCCCAGGACAGAAAGGGCCCAGCACTTAGGCGTTTTCCTGCCATTTTAAACCACTGCCCAGAGGGGTTTGATTTAGTGGGTCTGGGCTTCAAGCCCCTGTGTGTGGCTGTCACTGTTCCCAGTTAGGTTTTCTGTTTGTCACAGCTGGGCCAGGTTCTATCCTTCATTCACCCCCTTTGTAACCAGTCCCCGAGCAACCTCCTGCTCTGTTTGCACCTGGACATCCCCTCCTCTCTCTGTAATGCACCTGCCCCGGAGGGGAGGGAGGGAGGAAGGGAGCCACTTCAGCACTTAATTAATTCACAGGGGACACATCTTGATGGGGAGGGGCTGATGCTGTGCTTCTGTCCACGACACCAAGCAGCATTTGTACCAATGTTTGCTACCCACGCCCTGGGGATTACAGACAGGCGACCACGGCTGGACCCCTCAGGAATTAATTTTTCGGGGTAGGTCCGTATGGGATGTTATTTCATTTACTTGTGAATACTGACAGATTGGCCCCAGGGCTTGAGGGTGGGCTCAGGATGCAGCAGCTTCCCAGGGCAAAGGCCAGTGGCAAGAACTGTGAGCGTTTGCAGCGGCGCTCTGTGTGCTTTCCGACCCGCCCTTCTGGTGAAGTGTCCTACAACTAGCAGACAAGAGTGGCTGGATGTGTTTAGTGAGCTTCTTGCTGGGAAGTAGGTGACATTGACTGAGCCAACCCTGACTAACACTATCAGTGCTCTGCTCAGGGAGTTCAGCCCAGAGTGGTCACCAAATTGGGCTCTGCCGGGTGCCACTTTTCCCGACAGACCGGCGGTTTGGACAATAAAAGGGTGTGCGCTCTCCTGCCATCTTGAAGCTATTCCAGAGGCAAGATTGAACCCATTGATTTTGGGCAGAGGCAGAGACTGTCTAAGAACCATGACTATTTCTAGCGGAGCTCTGTATTCACAGCACTGTGTCTTTCCTGAAGTAGCAGCTTCTAAAGCAGCTTCCATGAGCCCTTTCCCAGTAAGAAAGTAGTCTTCACTTGAACACAGCATACTTTTATAGAGCAGGGGGGTAAGCTGTTCTTAGGTGACCAACATGGGGCGTGTGTTCAGCATAAGAGCATGGGAGACGCAGAGAAATGAAAGCTCAGTTGACTCCAGTCTTGAATCTTTTGGGAGGGACGGGAAATCCCTGGACGGACGGTCCCTGGTGGTATTTCAGGACAGTTCAGCAAGAGGAGAGACCATCATGCATCATGGGGGATGGAGTTCAGCCTGGAAGCATGGCCCATGGCAGACAATATTGGGATGCAGTAGCTGAGGCACATCTATGGTATTTCTGAGGGGATTCATTGTATTTTCAGCCAAAATCTCTCAGTCTGCACAAACAAAGCCTTTTCTGATCAGTTTGACACTGTCCCAGGGTTGAACTTTGAAAACAGGAAAAAGAAATACTCTGTATTTGTATGGAAGGGTACAGCAAAGTGCTCCACTTAGGAAGGAACAATCAGTTTCACACATACAGAATGGGAAGCGACTGTCTAGGAAGGAGCATGGCACAAAGGAGTCTAGGGGTTTTAGTGGACCACAGGATGAATATGAGTCAGCAGTGTGAAGCTGTTGCAAAGAAAGCAAACATGATTCTGGGATGCATTAACAGGTGTGTTGTGAGCAACTCATGAGAGGTCATTCTTCTGCTCTACTCTGCCTCAGTTGGAGTACTGCGTCCAGTTTGCAGAGATTTTATTTTTGTCACTATACCTTTTAAATTCTGTTTAACTAACTTCTTCATTTTTATGTAGTTCCCCTTTCTAAAATAAAATGCCACAGTGTTGAGCTGCTGAGGTGTTTTTCCCACAACAGGGATGTTACATTTTATTACATTATGGTCACTATTTCCATGTGGTCCAGTTATATTGACCTCTTGAACCAGATCCTGCGCACCACTTAGGACTAAATCAAGAATTGCCTCTCCTCTTCTGGGTTCCAGAACCAGCTGCTCCAAAAAGCAGTAATTTAAGGTATCTAGAAATATTATCTCTGCATCCTGTCCTAAGGTCACGTGTACCCAGTCAATATGTGGATAGTTTAAATCTTTTCAATCCCGCACTATTACTGATTTTTTTTATTTTGATAGCCTCTCTAATCTCCCTTAGCATTTCACAGTCACTAGCACTGTCCTGATCAGGAAGTCAATAACATATCCCTACTGGTATATTTTTATTATTGGAGCATGGAATTACTATCTATAGAGATTCTATGGAACATTTTGGCTCATTTCAGATTTTTACGTTATTTGATTCTACGTTTTCTTTCACATACAGTGCTACTCCCCCACCAGCACAACCTGCTCTATCCTTCCAATATATTTTGTACCCTGCTATGACCATGTGCCATTGATTGTCCTCATTCCACTAATTTCTGAGACTCCTATTATATCAATATCCTCCTTCAAAACTAGGCACTCTAATTCACCCAATTTATTCTTTAGACTTCTAACATTTGCTGCTTAGCTCAACAGTTCCAGGGCTGAACTTTGAAAACTAGAAGATAAAATATATAAGCCCTGTTGTACAGTGTAACTTTGATAGAAATTACACTGGGTAGGGTAAGTGTATTTCAAATTAATCCCCAGGGAATGAGTTTTACCAAGAGTGACTTTGCATTTCTCAGCAGGTTAATTAGGTGCGATGCCTTTTAGATCAGTTATTCCCAGTTACTTCTGGGAGCATGTCCCATGGATCACAGCTCTGGGTATAAAACTTCCTGAATACCCAAAATTGGCACTTTCTTTTGATGGGGAAACACCACATCTCTCGCCTCAGCCGGTACGTACTATTCTCCTGCATCACATACAGACACCAGAGTGATCAGCTGCTACTGAATTCGTGACCTACAACATTAAAGTCACAGTCCAATCTTAGCTATAGAAACAAACCACATGTTAGGAATCATTTAAAACAAACCACAGGCAATTGAATAGTCTGTGAAGTCCCTGGTTTCCACTCTTTCTCAGGATTTTCTTACAGAACACCGTAAATGACATTTCAGATGCAAAAAGCTTAATTAGCAGAGCACACAAGCTTTTCCCCAAAGACAGATGCTGAACCACAGAGCTCCGCTTGCCCAAAGAAGTTGAAGACTGACATTCGTTTACTCGCACCCCTCCTCGAGCTAAGCAATAATCTCATCACACTGAGATGGTTTTCACCCTGATTCTCACACAGCAGTGTAAGAAGTCACTGTTTGCTGCACAGATCACTGAAGAGGAGTGTTTATGGGTGCGTGGCATGATTAACTTGTGTGTCCTTGTATGTGTATAATGTGTTCATTGTATGGAACCACTGGAATGACCAGTTGTGAACATCTAGCTCTGTCCACTAAGCCCATCCCCAATTTTATGCAGGTGCCCATTATTTTATTACAGCGAAGGGACAGTTTCTCTGAACCAGTCCACCCACCCACTTCACTGTAGTTGCCTGATCTCGACTCAGAGGAGATGGAAGAGGGAAATCACTCGGTGGTGACTGAGTTCATTCTCTCAGGACTGACAGATCGTCGGGAGCTGCAGGTCCCCATGTTTTTGTTGTTCCTACTGATTTACGTTACTACTCTGATCTGTAATGGTGGGATGATCTTGTTAATCACAATAGACCCACAACTTCACACCCCCATGTACTTTTTCCTCAGGACTTTGTCTTTCTGTGATCTCTGCTGTTCCACAGTAATAGCCCCTAAGATGCTGCAGACTTTCTTAGCTGAAAGGAAAAGCATTTCATACATTGCCTGTGCTGTGCAAATGTATTGCTTCCTTGTTTGTTTAGATATTGAGTGTCTGTTGCTGGCTGTGATGGCGTATGACCGTTATGTGGCCATCTGTAACCCGCTGCTCTATATGGTCACTATGTCCAGGCAGCGGTGTAACCAGCTGGTGGCTGGGGTGTGCGCTGTGGGGTTGGTGGATGCGTTGATACTCATATGTTGTACATTTCGGTTATCATTCTGCAGCTCCAACGTCATCAAGCACTTCTTCTGTGGTATCGCCCCACTGCTGCCACTCTCCTGCTCTGACACCCGCATCAATGAGATTGTGATGTTTGCTTCTGCTTGTTATACTATAGCGATCACTGGTGTGATCATCCTCCTCTCCTACGCCTGTATAATCTCTACCATCCTTCAGATCCCATCTGCCGAGGGCCAGCGCAAACCCTTCTCCACCTGCGCTTCTCACTTGACCACAGTGGGCATGTTTTATGGCACTCTCATTTTTATGTCCCTCCGACCGACCTCCAGCTATGCTATGGACACAGACAAAATAGCCTCAGTATTCTACACGCTGGTGATCCCCATGTTGAACCCCCTTATCTACAGCCTGAGGAACAGGGAGGTGAAGGACGCCCTGAGAAAAGCCATGAATAAACTCCTAAGGAATTCCTGAATGTGTTCCTTCCTTTGCAGTTTGAGTGATGGGAATTGGAAATAGGTGAATTCAATTCCTAGCCTATTGTGATGTCACCTAGTGAAGCTCATAGTAGTATTATTACATTGTTATAATTATTGTTTGTTTGTTTATATTTCAACAAAATCTGCAGGCTGCAACTGAGAGCAGGGCTTTGTTACATGTGTGAGTATGTAAATATATGACATTTGCTTTGAATCCAGGTATCGGTTTGTATTTGTAATGAAAAGGGGGGTATGAAACGTCTCTCCTCTTTGTAGCTGACTTGGTTTCATTAAGGTGTGTGTAATTTCTATGGGTGAAGGAAAGGATGTTGTTGCAGTGATTGTCTCCTCTGTGACAGTCTGCATTGTACAGAATATGAAATAGCACAAAAAGTGTGAATTTTGTCTCCAACATAAATAAAAGAAAGCAATAAAATCAGACACCAGATATTTACGCCTCATCAGCAGGTTAGCGATACGTTCTTGTTCTTAGTTCCCTTGGGATGCATTGTGGACAGTGGAGGGTAGTGGTTCTGGGAATTGTATGGCTCTAGGGATTGTGAGTGAGAAATGGATAAAGCTGCATGCATAAATGGTTTTTTAGTTCACGGCTGCTTAGAAAATATTCATCTCAACCGGATCTTTCTCAGAAATTCTCTAAACATTGCGCAAACTGAACACTTTTTTTGAAATATAAAATAACTGTTGGTGGATCCCTAAAATTTATAGTTCCTTACGTGGTCCTCATCAACATATACCTGTGAGCACCTCAAAATCTTTATTGTTTTGATTGTCATAACTTCCATATTACATAGAACAATATGATCTCTATTTCACAGTTGATGAGCCGAGGCACAGACAAAATTAATGTCCTGCTGCAAGATCACACAGGAGGTCTGCAGTAAAGCCAGGAACTAAGCCCCAAATTACAGAGTTCTAAGCTAATGCTCTATCTGAAATATTTATGTAAAAGAGTGGTAAAACAGCGTCTTTTTTCTCTATATCAAGCTCATAATCCGCTGATTATCATTGTTCCAGTAAAATATGTGTGACAACAGTATATGTAATATTAGAAGATTGTTCTGTATAATGCGTTGAGCTGTTTCAAGTTCAAAAAAGTATGAACAAAGCTTTTCATTAAAAATAAGAGGGAAATTGGTGCCTCAGCCATGTGTCACCAAGTTAAATTATATCTCGCCTGCTAAGGAGGCTATTCTTGGGCAGTAAAGTGGAGGTGACTGTGGAATCTATATTTTGACAAATGAACAGCTTGCGGTTTCTCTCCTCTCGGACATTTTCTCCAGAAACTCAGACTCATGAGGATTCTTGCCGAAAAGAAATGACCATGAGAAGCAAAGGGAAATATCTGAAAGTTACTCTCCCTTCCTTTCTCTCTGCTCACCACATCGAAACCATCTAGAGTGAAAGGAAAGAAGCTTTGGATTGGAGGGCTCTGGCTGAAAGGCATCCAGCCGGTAACACTGCAGCAGTGGATGGTCAGAGAAATCTTTGCGTTGAATTCCTTTAGTTTGCTAAGTTAGGTGTTAGGTAAAGTTCATGTTTTATTTTTTTGTAACCAATTCTCCGCCTCGCTCTTTGCAACCAGTACTTGAGAAGAGGGTTTGCACAGGCCAGTTTTCTATTAGTAAATGTACAGACTTTATATGTGCTGGTGTTGTCCAGGAGAGTGCCGGACAGTACTGGACACACATCCCATTCAGCATCAGTAGGCCTTGTGATCTAGAGCTTAGTGTTCTGTATTGACAGGGTTAAAAGCTGCCAGAGCAGGAACTCGGAGATTTAGATGCAAGGTTGAAATACAGTATAGAAAGAGGGATTTGGTCGACACTGTCTTACCTATAGGTTTTACTCCAAACCCTTACAGTGAGTAGGGGATTTTACCATCCTCACCCACACACAAACTGCCTGTAACATCCACTGTGCACACACACCCACCGTGTGGGACAGGACATCGTGGGACTCTTCAATGCTCCTCCCCAAGGGCTCCAAACCAGCCTGTGGGTAGCAGTTCCTGGACACCTCCCCAGTGTCACTGCCAGTCTTAGGAAAAAAGTCACTGCATTTTGGGGTTCTCCTTACCATTTTAAAACAGAAACTTCAGGGTCTGAGCTTCAATCCCGTGTTTCTACTGTCACTATCCCCAGTTTTGTTCTATGTTTCTGATATTTGCATCAGGTTATTTCCCCTTTTCTCCTTTTTTTGTAATTAATTCCTAAATAATATTTTACCTGGTCTGCACCTGAACATCGCCGCCTCGTCCTTTATTGCCTCTACATGGGGGGAAGGAGAGGGAGGAATCTACTAAAGTGATTAATTCACAGGTAACAGAACCTAAAAGGGGGTTGATCCTGTGCTTCTGAGGAAGGCACCAAGCAGCATTTGTAACTGTGCTTGCATCCTGTGTCCTGGGGGTAACAGTCTCCTGCTGGCCATTGTGGGATTTAGCTCTCTAAAAAGATCCCGTAAACTTAGTTTTATGAGGAATAAGGGGGGCTTTCGATAGGGCTTTTTCCCCTCCGACATTTAGCCAAATGGAGGAAAAGCCTCTTCTGGAAAAAACCCACAAGAAGGTATGCAAATGTGAATGCTATTTGCATACCTCTGCTAAAAAAACCCCACAGTGTAGCCGTACCCTAACAGTGCACCCTCCTCAGACAGTGCCTCACCACCATCACTTCTGCTCTGGATCCAGCACACTATTATTCCAAGATGGCAGCGACATCTTCTGGACACAGCACCCGGCTCTGTCATTGCTTCTTTTACTTAGTTATTAAGCCACAGTGGCACTTTTTTGGTTCTCTTACTATGTTTTTAAATTTGGGGTATACATTTAAGTTGGGGCTCTATTATGATGACTTTGAAAAGTTGCCAGGCAGGTTGCAGAGATTTTACTTTTGTCACTGTACCTTTTAATTTCTCTTTAACTAACTTCCTCATTTTTGTGTAGTTCCCATTTCTGAAATTAAATGCCAGAGTGTTGGACTGCTGAGGTGTTTTTTCCCATGACAGGGATGTTAAATTTTATTACATTATGGTCACTATCTCCAAGAAGCCAGTTACATTGACCTCTTGAACCAGATGCTTTGCTCCACTTAGGACTAAATCAAGAAAACTTCTCCCCTTGTGGGAGAAGCAGTCTTTTAAGGTATCAAGAAGCAGCTGCTCCATGAAGCAGTCATTTAAGGTATCAAGAAATTTTATCTCTGTATCCAATCCTGAGGTGACGTGTACCCAGTTAATATGGTGATAATTGAAATCCCCCACTATTATTGAGTTTTTTATGTTGATAGCCTCTCTAATCTCCCTTAGCATTTTATAATTTCTATCATTGTCCTGATCAGGTGGTCGATAATATACCCATACTACTATATTCTCATTATTGGAGCATGGAATTACTATTCATAGAGATTCTATGGAACATTTTGACTCATTTAAGATTTTTACTTCATTTGAGACTGCATTTTCTTTCACATACAGTGCCACTCGCCCACCAGCATGACCTGTTCTGTATATTTTGTACCCTGGTATGACTGTATCCCATTGATTGTTCTCAATGCACCAAATTTCTGTGATGCATATAATCAATATCCTTCTTTAAAACTAGGCACGGTAGTTCACCCTTTATACTATTTAAGACTTCTAGCATTTGTGTATAAGAACTTTAAAAATATATCACTATATATCTCACCACCATTTCCTGATGTATTAGACTCTTTTTCATTTGAGTGTCTATCATCTGATCTGACCCATACTTCCATCTTCTCCTCCTGACTAGAACATAGAGCATCTCTATTAATATAGTCTCCCCTAAGAGATGTCTTTGTCTGATTCATGTGCTCCTCCTCACTCGTTGGCTTTCCCCCAACCCTTAGTTTATAAACTGCTCTATAACCTTTTTAATGATAAGTGCCAGCAGTATGGTTTCATTTTGGTTTAGTTGAGGCCTGGGCAAAATATGGCCTGTGGGCCAGATTTGGCCCACTAGCCACCAGATCCATCCTGTGGGAGCAGTGAGGTGTCTAGGCAGGCTACCCAGCTTGCCCTGAAGCCCTATTTGCTGGGAAGAAACAAGGTTGCAGGGCTCCATTTCTGTTTTAAAGCTGGAGGGGAGGGGAAGGGTGAAGTTTTAGGAGCCTCAGTGCATTCCCGTTGGCCAGTTTCTGGCAGAAATGAGCCAATGGGAGCTGCTTGTTGGAGTAACAGGAAATGAAGAAGAACCATGCCCCCTCACGTTGGCTCAGTAATTCATAAAGCACATAACCAGTCAAGCTGGCTGGGAAACATTTTAAGCTCTGCAGGTAGGCGGGCTAGTTTGGCAGCTGGCAAGTAAGTCTTTTGGCAACAGCCTGCTGCTGGCACCCCGGTCTTTTCCTGCCCCAACAATGTCCCCCCCCCCCACATTCAACATACCCAAACCCTGGGTCCTCTTTTGTACCCACATCCCCTTCCAGATCTGGCACCCCAATCTCCTGCCCCAAATCACAATCCCCTCCTACCCTAGGTCACATCCCAAATCTCTGCACAAGTCCCCTGCCCTAGGTCACAACTGCTTACTTAATCAGAATTTCTTCCCAGACTCCACTCTTCCTCCAGCACGCCACTCCCTTACCCTAAAAACTCCCTTCTGAACCCAACCTCAATCCCAAACCTTGTGCAGCCCTCAATGATTTTCCAAAATCTTGGAGTGGCCCCGTCAACAATTATTGTTCACCTCTGGCTTAGGTGGAGCCCATCCATCCTATATAGGCTCCTCCTATCTCAAACGTTTCCCTAGTTGCTAATAAATCTAAACCCCTCCTCTCTACACCATCGTCTCTTCCATGTATTGAGACTCTGAAGCTCTGCCTGACTACCTGGCCCTGTTCATGGAACTGGAAGCATTTCAGGAAATGCTACCATAGAGGTCCTGGATTTCAATCTCTTTCCAGGCAGCCTAAATTTGGCCTCCAGAACCTCCCTCCTACCCTTCCCTATGTCATTGGTACCTACAGGTACCACGACCTCCAACTCCTCCCCAGCACTACACATCAGTCTATCTCGATGTCTTGAGAGATCTGCAACCTTCGCACCAGGCAGGCAAGTCACCAAAGGTTCTCCTGGTGATCACAAACCCAGCTATCTATGTTTCTAATGATCAATTCCCCCATTACTAACACCTGCCTTTTCCTAACCACTGGAGTTCCCTCCCCTGGAGAGGTAACCCCACCATCCTCTGGAAGGAGGGTCCTAACTACAGGATGGTTTCCCTCTGCTTCCGTTCACTGTTTTCCTTCCATGAGCCTTTCAACCTCCTTAACAGCCCTGGGGCTGGCTGACTGGAGGTGGGACAATTCTACAGCATCCTGGAAAGCCTCATCTACGTCTGCCTCCCTCAGCTCCTCCATTCAGTGACTCTGGTCTCCAAAGCCCAAACTCTGTTTGAGGGCCAGGAGCTCCTTGCACTGGGTGTACTCATACACCTCCTGTCCATAGGGCAGGTAGTCATACGTGTTACACTGGATGCAATAAACAGGATAGCATCCTCCTTAACAGCACAGGGTCTGACTGGAGGTGGGACAGTTTTACAGTGTCCCAGAAATCCTCATCTATGTACACCTCTGCCTCCCTTAGCTCCTCAGATTCAGCAACCCCGGCCTCCAAAGCCCTTATGCGGTCTCTGAGGGCTAGGAGCTTCTTGCACTAAATGCAGACTTCCGCCACCTGTCCATTGGGCAGGTAATCATACATGCTACATAGGGTACAATAAACACATTAGTCCCCCCCCCCACACACACACACTCTGCTGCTGGACTTCTGCCGGCATTCTCTCTTACGGCTCCTTAGGTTATCGGTAGGGTTTTTATTTAAAATATGGTAGTTTGGGTTTCAGTTTACTTTTAGGCTACGTCTACACTGGCATGATTTTCCGGAAATAATTATAATGGAAAAGTTTTCCGTTATAAGCATTTTCAGAAAAAGCGCTTCTACATTGGCAGGGTGCTTTTTCAGAAAAGCACTTTTTTCAGAAAAGCGTCCGTGCCAATCTAGACGCGCTTTTCTGCAAAAAAAGCCCTGATCGTAATTTTCGCGATCGGGGCTTTTTTGTGGAAAATAAATCTCTGCTGTCTACACTGGCCCTTTTCTGGAACAGTTTTCTGGAAAAGGACTTTTGCCCAAACAGGAGCAGCATAGTTTTTCCAGAAAAGCACTGATGATTTTACATTAGATCGTCACTACTTTTCTGGAAATTCAAGGGGCCAGTGTAGACAGCTGGCAAGTTATTCCGGAAAAGCGGCTGATTTTCCGGAATAAGTGGCCAGTGTAGCCACAGCCTTAAAGTTTTAAAGAATGGCAAGAGTACCTCACCCCCCATTAAAATCCTCTTCTAAACTCCCTCACAAAACTCCTTGCTGGCCAGCTCTGTTGGCAAAGTTCCCTGGTCGCTAAGGGTGCTTCTAGACTGCAAGCTTCTTTCAAAGGAAGCTTTCCTGGAAGAGATCTTCCAAAAAATCTTTTTTCGAAAGAGAGCGTCCACACCACAAAAGCACATCAAATAAGCGATCTGCTTTTTTGAAAGATAGCATGCACATTGATTGGACACAAAGCATAAATGTGAGATAGATTACTATGGACAGAATGGCCACTAAGGCACCTGTGCTTTTTCCTCTTTCCTTTTTTTTCAAAAGAACTCCTTCCACATCCACACATGCCTTTTTCCGAAAAAGCTCTTTTGAAAAGGCTCCTTCCTCGTAGAATGTGAGAAAATCCTTGTGTTCTTTTAGGGTTGTTGTTGTTGGTTTTTTTTTTTTTTTTTTTTTTGAAAGATAGCAACAACTGTGTGGATATAAGAGAAGTTTTTTTTCGAAAAACTTTTGGCTTTTTTTCTGAAAAAAACTTGCAGCCTAGATGCACCCTTGTGGTATTTCTGAGGGGATCTATTCTGTTCTCAGCCAAAAACTTTCAGTCTCCACAAACAAACCCTTTGCTGCTCAGATCGACCAGTGCCAGGGTTGAATTTTGAAGACAGGATGATGAAATATACTCCAGGTTGCACTGTGCATCTCTAATAGAAATTGCATCATTTAGTCAAATTAATCCCCAGGGAATGAGTTTCACCCAAGGTTACTTGGCTTCCCTCAGTAGCTTAATTAGGTGTTATGCCTCTTCGGCTCAGTTATTCCCAGTTACTTCAGGGAGCGTGTCCCATGGATCACAGTTCGGCGTATAAAACTTCCTGAACACTCAGAATTGGCACTTACTTTCCTTCAATGGGGAAACACCACATCTCTCTACTCAGCAGGTACGTACTATTGTCCTCCATCACAGTGATGCAAATATAGATACTAGGGTGATTAGCAACAACTGAATTCAGGACCTACAACACTAAAAGTCACAGCCCACTCTTAGCTATAGAAACAAACCATGCGATCAGGAAAAAAAATAGGCAATGACATTGTCCCTGAAGTCCTTAGATCTCACTATTTCTCAGGATTTTCTTACAGAACACTGTCAATGACATTTCAGATGCAAAAAAGGTTAATTAGCAGAGCACACAAGCTTTTCCCCAAACACACATGCTGAGCCCAGAGCTCCCCTTCCCCAAAGAGAGTAGAGACATTGGCACTTGTTTACTCTCGCCCCTCCTTGAGCTAAACAACAATCTCATCTTACTAAGATTTTCAACCTTATTCTCCTACAGCAGACTAAGAAGTCATTGTTCCATGCTCAGATCAGTGAAGAGGACTCTTTGTGTGAGTGTCATGATTAACCGGAATGTCCCTGTACGTGTACAGTGTGTGCATTTCATGGAACAGCTGGAATGACCTGTGAACATCTAGATCTGTACACTAAATCGATCCCCAGTTGTATACAGGGGCCCATTGAGAAATTGATCTCCACATTTCTTTACTTACTTCATTACAGTGAAGGGACATATTCTCTGGACCAACCCACCCACCCACGTCACTGTAGCTGCCTGATCTCGGCTCAGAGGAGATGGAAGAGGGAAATCACTCGGTGGTGACTGAGTTCATTCTCTCAGGACTGACAGATCGTCCGGAGCTCCAAGTCCCCATGTTTTTGCTGTTCCTACTGATTTATGTTACCACTCTGATCTGTAATGGTGGCATGATCTTGTTAATCACAATTGACCCACAACTTCACACCCCCATGTACTTTTTCCTCAGGACTTTGTCTTTTTGTGATTTTTGCTGTTCCACAGTAATAGCCCCTAAGATGCTGCAGACTTTCTTGGCGGAGAGGAAAAGCATTCCATACATTGCCTGTGCTGTGCAAATGTATTGCTTTCTTGTTTGTATAGATATTGAGTGTCTCTTGCTGGCTGTGATGGCGTATGACCGTTATGTGGCCATCTGTAACCCACTGTTCTATACAGTCACTATGTCCAAGCACCGCTGTAACCTGCTGGTGGGTGGGGTGTGTTCTGTGGGGTTGGTGGATGCGCTGATACTCACCTGTTGTACATTTCGGTTGTCATTCTGCCATTCCAATATCATCAGGCATTTCTTCTGTGGCATCGCCCCATTGTTGCCACTCTCCTGCTCTGACACCCACATCAATGAGATTGTGATGTTTGCTTCTACGTGTTACACTGTAGTGATCACCAGTGTGATTATCCTGCTCTCCTATGTCTGCATCATCTCCGCCATCCTGCGGATCCACTCTGCCGAGGGCCGGCGCAAAGCCTTCTCCACCTGCTCGTCTCACTTGACCGCAGTGGGCGTGTTTCATGGCACTCTCATTTTTATGACTCTCCGACCGACCTCCAGCTATTCCATGGACACAGACAAAATAGCCTCATTGTTCTACACGCTGATGATCCCCATGCTGAACCCCCTCATCTACAGCCTGAGGAACCGGGAGGTGAAGGACGCTGTGAGGAAGGTAGTTAATAAACACCTGAGGAATTCATGAATTTGTTCATTCTTGTGTAGGTTGAATGATGGGGAGTGGAAACAGGGGAATTAATTTCCTAGCCCATGCTGCTGTCATCTCATAGAGCTCATGGTAGTATAGCTCATTATTACACTGTTATTAACATTTGTTTGTTTATATCCCAACAAAGTCTGCAGGCCCCACATGTGGGGGATTCAAATGTCTCGTTTCTTTGTAGCTGGGTTGGTTCCTTCATAGCTGGCTTGGTTTCCTTAGGCTGTGTGTGATTTCTATGGCTGAAGGAAAGGGAGCTGTTTTAGAGATTGTCTCCTGGTTTATGTCCATGCACTATGAGAAAAAAACATCTTTTTCATCACAATGTCCTTTACTTCGTCTTAAGGGAACAACAAAAGAAATAGGAGCATGGTGTCTAAGAGACAGTACAGTGTGTGTGCATCCTCTGTGACGGTCTGCACTGAACAGAATAGAAAATAAAACAAAAGTGTGAATTTTCTCCACAACATAAATAATACACAGAGATAAAATCGGACACTACATATTTATACCTTATAAGCAGGTTAGCTATGCTTTCTTGCTCTTAGTTCTCTTGGGATGTACTATGGACTGTGAATTGTAGCGGTTCTGCAAATTGTATGACTCTGGGCATTGTGAGTTAGAAATGGATGAAGCTGTTCCCATAAACGGTTTTTTAGTTCACAGCTGCTTAGAAAATATTCATCTCAACCTGATCCTTATCTGAAAATACTCTTTAGAGGAATTGAGCAAATGGAAAACATTTTTTGAAATATAAAATATCTGTCAGTGAATCATTCACATTTGTATTTGCTTATAAAGCCCTCATCAATGTATTTCTGTGAGCATCTCAAAATATTTATTTTTTTGATTGTCATAACTTCCATGTTAGGTTGCACAAAATTATCTCCATTTCACAAATGGTGAGCTGAGGCACAGATAAGTTAATGTCCTGCTGCAAGATTACACAAGAGACCTGCAGTAAAGCCAGGAACTAAGCCCCAAATTTCAGAGTTCTAAGCCAATGCTCTACCTACACCTAGCTGATCTTTCCTTTTCCTAACAATAAAGAAAGAGATGCGTAAAATATTTATGTAAAAGCACAACAAAACAGCTCCTTCTTTCTCCATATCAAGCTCATAATCTGCTGATCATCATTGTTCTGGTATAATGTGTGTGGTAAAATTATATGTAAAATTAGAAGATTCTACTGTATAATATAGTGAGTTGTTTAAAGTTAAGAAAAATGTGGATAGAGCAGTTTGTTTGAGGCAAAAAGGAAATTGGTGCCAGGTGTCAACCAAGTTAAATGATATCTCACCAGGTGAAGAGGTCTTTCTTGGGCAGGAAGAAGGTTATGAGGGAGAGATCTATATTTGGTAAACAAATGGCTGGGTTTTGCTACCCCCACAGAACTTCAGGCTGAAGATGATTCTTGCAAATGAGAATTGTTAAGAAAAGGCAAATATCTGAAAGGTACCATCCATCCCTTGCTCTCTGGATTGGAGGGTTCTGGCTGACAGACATTCAGCCAGTATCACTGCAGCAGTGGGTGTTGAGAGAAATATTTGCTTTGAATTTCTGTAACATGTTAAGTTAGTGATTCGTTGAATTTTATGTTTTATTTCCTTGTAGCCAATTTTCTGTCCCATTGTTTGTAAGCTAAGCTTGAGAAGAGGATTTGCACAGGCCATTTTTGTATTAATAAAAGGACAGACTTTGTATGACGTGCAGTAGTCCTGGAGGGTGCTGGACAGCACCAGACACACATCCCATTCAGCATCACTTGCCCTGTGACACAGAGATGAGTGCTTTGTGTTGACAGGTTGGAAAGCTGACAAAGTAGGAGCCCAGAGATTTAGGTGCAAGATTGCACTATGTTACAGAATGAGGGAAATGGTCGCCACTCTCTCACCTATAGGTTTTGGATCCCTCTTCCTCTATTGCCATGAGAAGGAAAAAATGCTTTATGACAAAGAGCAGCATCTATCACTCACTAACTTTGAGCTAAAGCAGCGAGGAGTCCTTGTGGCACCTTATAGACTAACAGAAGTGTTGGAGCATAAGCTTTCGTGGGCAAAGACCCACTTCGTCAGATGCATGTCTTTGCCCACTAAGGGTACGTCTAGACTAACGCGTTTTGTCGACGGAAGTTTTGTCGACAGATACTGTCGACAAAACTTCTGTCGACAAAGAGCGTCCAGACACATTGAGTTCTGTCGACAAAGCAAGCTGCTTTGTCGACAGAACCCCGTAGTCTGGACACAACCCTACAGGCAATAACACCTTCTGTCGACAGAACTCTGTCGACAGAAGGTGTTTTGCCTCGTAAAATGAGGTATACCAGCGTCGACAAAACTGCTGAGTTCTGTCGACGTTATGTCAACAGAACTCAGCGGTAGTGTAGACGCTGGTATAGTTTTGTCGACAAAAGTCCACTTTTGTCGACAAAACTCGGTAGTCTAGACACACCCTCTAACTTATGCTCCAACACTTTGGATAGTCTTTAAGGTGCCACAGGACTCCTCGCTGCTTTGCAGATTAAGACTTACACGGCTACCCCTCTGATACTTAACTTTGGGCTTTGTTCCTAGCTCAACTCCGGGCTTCTTGTGCAACCTTAAACCAAGACATTTAATTTTTCTGTGATGGAATTTACAATGAATAGAATAAACTTTGCAAGGTGCGCAGAGATACTACATTGTTGACATGTAATAGAGCTGAAGCTGACCTCCACGGTGGGTGGTTGGGGAGTTGTGTTTAGGTACGGTTTAATTGTTCTACCTCATTAAATATAATGTTATGATAGTGTTTAAGTCAGCAATTGGGACAACCAATCATTTTTGTTGCCCACCACTGGACTTTCTCTGATGCATCCACATCCTTTTTGTAATGGGGGCCCCAATGATTTGGGGGACAACCAAAATGGAGTCTGTGACCCTTGACCTAGGGAGCCATGTTGGCTCTCCTCAGGCACTGACCACCCAGAGACGATCTAAACTGGATTTTCCTGCCAAGTGCTCACAAGGTTTCCATTCCCCTCAAGTTTTTCCTGACCTTGTGGCTTTGTGAGGGCTGTGTTGCCTCAGCCACAGCTGCTGTCCGCCATAGTGGCAGCAGTGTCGGACCCGTCTGCTCTACCCCCTGCCAGCCAGGGGCAGCCCCAGGTGCGCCTGCGGGGGTGGAGAAGGGGATTTTACCAACCACCCCCACCCACCCACAGCCTGCCTGTAACACCCCCAGCCTGCAGCTCCTCTTCACCCTTCAGAACAGTTCAGGACATTGTGGGACTCCCTGGGGTTCCTTCCCTAGGATCCTAAATCTGCCAGAGGGTAGCAGGTCCTAGGCACCTCCCCCAGTGCCCCTGCCAGTCCAAGGAGAGAAAGGTCACTGCATTCAGGGCTTATTCTTAGCTTTTTAAAACACTAGGCCAAAAGGGGTTTGATTTCATGGGTCTGGGCTTCAAGCCCCCGTGTGTTGCTGTCGCTGTCCCCAGTTTGGTTTTCTGTTTGTCACAGCTGGGCCAGGTTCTGTCCCCCATTCACCCCCTTTGCAACCAGTCCCAAAGCAACCTCCTGCTCTGTTTGTACCTGGACATCCCCTCCTCTCTCTGTAATGCACCTGCCCTGGAGGGAAGGGAAGGTGAAAGCCACTTCAGAGTTTAATCAATTTACAGACTTTGATGGTGGGAAGTGGTGGTGATCCTGTGCCTCTCACCAGTGCACCAAGTGGTATTTGTACCCGTGTTTGCTACCCATGCCTTGGAGGTAACAAACTGGTGCCCGCGGCCAGACACCTCGGGAATTAATTTTTTGGGGTGGCTCCTTATGGGATTTTATTTCATTTATTTGTGACTACAGAGCGTATGTCTAGACTGCACCCCTCTGCCGGCAGAGGGATGCAGATTAGACTGGGCGAAATTGCTAATGAAGTGGGGATTTAAATATCCCCCGCTTCATTATCATAAAAATGGCCGCTATTTTTTTTGGCATGGAATTTTGTCGGAGAAAAGCGGCAGTCTAGAGGCTGATCTATTGCTAAAGAAAGCCTTTTCCAATAGATCCCTTATGCCTCGTAAAACAAGGCACAGCACTGCGCCCTCATGAAGCAGCAGCTTCGCAGCCCACAGGCCAGTGGCAAGAGCCGTGAGCGTTTGCAGCCGCACACTGTCTGCTTTTCCTACCTGCCTTTCTGGAGAGGTGTTGGAAAAGTCCTACACCCAGCACACAACAGTGGCTAGATGTGTTTAGTGAGCTTCTCTCTGTGAAGTAGGTGACATTGACAGAGCCAACCCTGACTAACACTATCAGTGCTCTGCTCAGGGAGTTCAGCCCAGAGTGGTCACCAAATTGGGCTCTGCCGGGTGCCACTTTTCCCGACAAGACCGGCAGTTTGGACAATAGGAGGGAGTGCGCTCTCCTGTCATCTTGAAGCTATTCCAGAGGCAAGATTGAACCCATTGATTTTGGGCAGAGGCAGGGACTGTCTAAGAACCATGACTATTTCTAGCGGAGCTCTGTATTCACAGCACTGTGTCTTTCCTGAAGTAGTGGCTTCTAAAGCAGCTTCCATGAGCCCTTTCTCAGTAAGAAAGCAGTCTTCGCCTGAACACAGCATACCTTTTATAGAGCAGGGGGGTAAGCTGTTCTTAAGTGACCAGCATGGGGCGTGTGTTCAGCATGAGAGGATGGGAGACGTAGAGACATGAAAGCTCAGTTGACTCCAGTCCTGAATCTTTTCGGAGGAATGGGAAATCCCTGGATGGATGGTCCCTGGTGTGGGCGGGGGGGACGACAACTCTCTGAAAAGGTTTACTGTGTTAGGGGAGTGCTATGTCATCTGTAAAGAAAACAGAGCAGCAAAGTGCCCTCCTGTATGGCTTGGCCCTGGTAAGAAAGGAACTAAAAGCAGGTGGTCCAGACTTCTTAGTCTGAAAAACAAAGGGATGTGCCCTCCATCGAGTAGAATTGGTGAACCTATCTGTCCGATTTCAGGGAGTGACATAGCAAGAGAAAGACATAGAACATCACAGTCCGCAATGGATAGACGGACAGAGAGATCGGGAGGACTGCAATATATCTTGTAGGTCTCACATTCCATCAGTTGGGGACAATGAGGCAATTCTGAACCTAGGAATGCCTGAGAAGATGTCAGTGGTTTTCAATATGTCTCAGGCTTTTAATAAAGACCCATGTGATATAATTAGCGAGCTCCAGCTCTGTCTCACATTTGTTTCCTTTGGTTGCAAGTTTCGTGCTACAGCTGGTGAAAAAGTTTCTTGAAAAGATTTGATGGAAATATTCAAGAAATTACCTTTTCCATCATAATACCAATCTTCCTCTCCCCTCAGACTGTGGCTGTGGGACTCTGGTGGTATTCCAGGACAGTTCAGCAAGAGGAGAGACCATCATGCATTGTGGGGGACGGAGTTCAGCCTGGAAGCCTGGCCCATGGCAGACAATATTGGGATGCAGTAGCTGAGGCACATCTATGGTATTTTCAGCCAAAACCTCTCAGTCTGCACGAACAAAGCCTTTTCTGATCAGCTTGACTCTGTTCCTTCCTAAGTGGAGCACTTCACTGTACCCTTCCATGCAAATACAGAGTGTTTATTTCATCTTCCTGTTTTCAAAGTTCAACCCTGGGACAATCAGTTTCATACATACAGACTGGGAAGTGACTGTCTAGGAAAGAGTACGGCAGAAAGGGGCTTAGGGGTTTTAGAGGACCAGAGGCTGAATATGAGTCAGCAGTGTGATGCTGTTGCAAAAAAAAGCAAACATGATTCTGGGATGCATTAATTGTGTTGTGAGCAAGACATGAGAAGTCATTCTTCCGCTCTACTCTGCACTGGTTAGGCCTCAGTTGGAGCATTGTGTCCAGTTCTGGGCACTGCATTTCAAGAAAGATGTGGAAAAATTGGAGCGGGTCCAGAGAAGAGCAACAAGAATGATGAAAGGTCTAGAGAATATGGCCTATGAAGGAAGGCTGAAAGAATTGGGTTCGTGTAGTTTAGAAAAGAGAAGATTGAGGGGAGACATGATAGCAGTTTTCAGGTATCTAAAAGGGTGTTATAAGGAGGAGGGAGAAAACTTGTTCATCTTGGCCTCTGAGGATAGAACAAGAAGCAATGGGCTTAAACTGCAGCAAGGAAGGTTTAGGTTGGACATTAGGAAAAGGTTCCTAACTGTCAGAGTAGTCAAACACTGGAATAAATTGCCCAGGGAGGTTGTGGAATCCCCATCTCTGGAGATATTTAAGAGTAGGTTAGATAAATGTCTATCAGGGATGGTCTAGACAGTAGTTAGCCCTGCCATGAGGGCAGGGGACTGGACTCGATGACCCCTCGAGGTCCCTTCCAGTGCTAGTATTCTATGATTCTATGATTCTACTGTGTTGTACAGTGTAACTCTGATAGAAATTGCATCATTTAGTAACACGGGATAAAAAAGTGCACCAAATTAATCCTCAGGGTATGAGTTATACCCAGGGTGACTTTGCTTCATTCAGTAGCTTAATTAGATGTGGTGCCTCTCTGAGCTCTGTTATTCATGGTTACTTCAGGGAGCATATCCCATGGATCACAGATCTGGGTATAAAACTTATCAAACACTCAAAATTGGCATTTTCTTTCAATGGGGAAACAACACATCTCTCTCCTCTCAGCAGGTATGTGCTGTTGTCCTGCATCACTGTTACACACGCCTATAGATACCATGGTGATCAGGAGATACAGAATTCATGACCTACACAACCAAAAGGATCATCCCACCCTGAGCTAAACAAATAACTCACATAATTGGAAATAATAGACAATTACATAGTCCCTGAAGTCTGTGGTTTCGAGTATTTCTCAGGATTTTATTAGAGAACTGTGTAAATGCCATTTCACAGGCAAAAAAGCTTAATTAGCACAGCACACAAACTTTACGCCAGACATGCCGATACACAGAACTCCCCTTGCCCAAAGAGGGTAGAGAGATTGACACTCATTTACTCTCACCCCTTTTTGAGCTAAGCAATAATCTCATCACACTGAGATGTTTTCATCCTGATTCTCTCACAGCAGTGTCAAAAGTCACTGTTTGCTGCTCAGACTAGTGAATAAGAATTTGTGGCGTGATTAACCTATGTGTCCTTGTATTTTGACAGAATGTGCATTGTATGGAACAACTGGAATGACCAGATATGAACATCTACCTCTCTGGACTAAGACCTTCATTGAGCTGGTACTAGTGCCATTAAAAAATCAATCTCAATTTTTCTTCATTTAAGTTGTTGGAGAGAAGGGTTAGGTTGACTGAGCCATCCACGGGCCCACACCACTGTAGCTGCCTGATCTCTGCTCAGAGGAGATGGAAGAGGGAAATCACTCGGTGGTGACTGAGTTCATTCTCTCAGGACTAACAGATCGTCCGGAGCTGCAGGTCCCTCTGTTTGTGCTGTTCCTACTGATTTATCTTATCACCCTGGTTTGGAATGGGGGGATGATCTTGCTAATCACGATTGACCCCCAACTACACACACCCATGTACTTTCTCCTCCGGAATTTGTCGTTCTGTGATCTGTGCAGTTCCACGGTAATAGCCCCTAAGATGCTGCAGAATTTCTTAGCTGAGAGGAAAAGCATTTCGTACATTGCCTGTGCAGTGCAAATGTATTTCTTCCTTGTTTTTGTAGATGTTGAGTGTCTCTTGCTGGCTGTGATGGCATACGACCGTTATGTGGCCATCTGTAACCCGCTGCTCTATATGGTTACTATGTCCAGGCAGCGCTGTAACCAGCTAGTGGCTGGATGCTATTTTGTGGGCTTGATGGATGCATTAATACTCACATGTTGTACATTTCGGTTGTCATTCTGCCACTCCAACCTCATCAGGCATTTCTCCTGTGAAATCCCCCCTTTATTAGCACTCTCCTGCTCTGAAACAAACATCAATGAGATTGTGCTGTTTGCTTCTATGTGCTACACTGTAGTAATCAGCATTGTGACCATCCTCCTGACCTATGTGTATATCATCTCCACCATCCTGCAGATCCGCTCTCCTGAGGGCCGGCGCAAAACCTTCTCCACCTGCACTTGTCACTTGACAGCAGTGGTCCTGTTTCATGGCACCCTCCTTTTCATCTATTTCCGACCCACCTCCAGCTATTCCTTGGACACAGACAAAATGGCCTCTGTGTTCTACACGCTGGTCATCCCCATGTTGAACCCCCTCATTTACAGTCTGAGGAACAAGGAGGTGAAGGACGCCATGAGGAAAATAATAAACTCCTAAGCAATTCTTGATTCAGTTCATCTCAGTGCTGGTTGAGCAATGGGGAGTGGAAACAGGTGAATTAATTTCCCAATCCATAGTGATGTCATTTTGGAAAGAGCATGGTAGAATGGATAATTATTGTAGGGTTCTTTTTATTAATTTCTTTGTATATCAATAAGACCTATAGGTCCCAACTTAGATCAGTGCTTCAGGGATTCACTAAGCTATTATCCCAGCAAAATTAAAGGAGGCACCAGTTTCACATATCTGAGCATATAAGTATTGGACATTTTCTTTGCGCCCATTGATCTGAATGTATCTGGTGAGAGGGGGACGGCATCAAATGTCCACTTGTTAGTAGCTGGCTTAGTTTCATTATGACATGTTTGATTTCTATGGCTGAAGCAAAGGGACTTGTTGTAGAGATTTTCCCCTGGATTCTCTCCATGCTGTATGAGGAAAAACATCATTTCCATCACAACGTCCTTCACTTCACCTTAAGGGAGCAACAAAACAAATAGGACCTGGGTGTCTAAGAGAGAGCATGGTGTGTGTGAATCCTCTTTGACAGTTTGCACTGAACAGAATGCAAAA